TTTTTTCGATAACTCAACCATTTCTTGAGGGATTCTTCTCATCTTCGAACTCGACCGAGATATTCATGAGATTGAACTGTATGGAAAATTTCATCACGGTCTGACTCTCCTTTCGCAAGTTATCGTACCTACGGCCTGGCGGACACACTGACCGATTCTAGAGTGTACTCACTTTTTGAGTACGCAAAAACAAGACCTGGCTGGTTTTACTCGTTGATATTAATTTAGAGAACTTTTTTCTTCTCAGAGATGCGTATGACTCATGTTCTATTTTAGAATAAAGGGAGATTTTATTAAAGTTTTGTGAACTATTCTAAACAAAAAAGATTGGAAATAGTCTTATATTCGTTTTAATGAACATACTAAAACTGAAATTATTTGTTAAACATTATTTAAATGACATTTAATTTTTGAAAAGCGAGGAAAATTTAATCAAATAGAATGTTGACATTTTTCATAGAGTGATTAATGATTTTTCATAACTTCGTATTTATTTCGTTGCAAAACGGTATGTTTGACAATGAATCTGTTTGAAACTTAACACTTAGTTGTACAATACTTTCATATGTTACATAAGATTGGTTGGCTCACTTAGATAGTTTCTTAAAAATTTAAGCTAAGAATCGTTTCAGTTCTTGATCATCTAATTTTTATATTTTTGATATGATAAATAAAAGTCATTGAACTATCAATATTTTACGATCTTTGCTTCATTTTTATGTACGTTTGTTGGCATTATATTATTTAAGTGATTTGTACTGAATAATTAGTTAACAACAGTCGTTTTGAAATCGAAGCATTGATAGCAAGACATAGAGTATAAAATAATAAAATATTTTGCTTTTTAAACTTTCAAAAAAAAAACACTCGTGAATAATAATAAAATCTGTTAGTGCATCTGATCGGTAATCAAAAAACGTACTGATACAATTCTAATTTTTGTAAGGATACTTGTTTTTTTCATACTTTGACAGTATTGTTTTTTAAAATTTACTTAATTACTTGATGTCTCTTTTGATATTTCATCTATAGTAGAAAAACAGTTGAAGAATGAAGTGGCTAACTGACAAAATTTAGTATTCAACATGTGCAATATTGGAAACAATATAGGGTGAATCCATGTAAACCCATCCACTTTTTGGAAAAGTTTTTTTTTCGATTTATTTTCAGTCGAAATTTCCGGTATGCTGTAGAAAACAGTTTTGATGAAAAAAAACTATGACCCTGCTAGCGAAAAATATCGAGTTCTGGTTGATTTTTTCGGAACGACTATGGTATATTGTCAGACAAAGAAGAAACGTCAGGAAAACACCTGAAACTTTCCTAAAATATATATTTTCAGAATTTTCTCATGCTGAACAATATGAAAGCTGTTTAGAAACACTTTAGATGAAAAAACATTAGACCATTCCTATTGAAAGTCTTGAGTTCTGAGTCATTTCTTCTGAAAATAACGATTGCTGTCGTTTGTCATGCTGAGTGACACTAATTTATTTGAAGGATTTTCATTAGACTAGTGATAAAGATAATGATGTTCAGGATGATATATCGCTGTTACAATAGATGACCTCAGGTGCTTGGTGACATCGAATTTACCCGAAACCATCAGCTTGAGACTGAAAGAATCTGACATAGTAGGAAACTAAGAGAATTTTCCGATGTGTTGACGTGCTGAATATCACTGTTACGTTTCATTCCACAAAATCTGATACATTGAAATCGGCATAAAATAGATGTGGAAATTTTGGATTTCATCCGAGAGTTATGTGCCATGTAAAGAGTACATGGGACATATGAGTCATTCCAGAATGTCTGAACACCAAAATTATCATGAAAAACTAGGCAATTTGATGTCTGGATGCAGTTTTTGTGCATTTTGAGACGTTTTTCAGGCGATGTTTCGTTAGAAAGCTATGATTTAGTTCAAAACTAATATCAGATTCCGAATCAGCGTTAAAAACTGCGTCGATTTATATATGTTGTGGATAATTCTGAGAAAAACGTTTTTT